AGGTTGATCTGGCCAAGTTGACCACTGTGATCGCAGTCTTGGGCCTATGTTCGAAGAAGTCAATTTATTGACTCACATCATTTATCAACTTCATTTATACCTAATTTATTTTCAACTTTAAAATTATCTACATATTTAAAAATTTAGTAATTTTAATGAAGAAAAAAATAAAATAGCTATAACACTTTGTTTGGATGGTTGTTGCTTATTATTTCATAATGTATCGTATTAAATCAGTAGTTACATAAAAGGGGTGTCAAAAATGAACCCTAACATAGGTAACCCGCCCGGAATTTTAAAGGTTGGGCTCAAGATAATTTGAGTTAGGTTTAATCTCAACTCATTCAAGCCTAACCCATTTTAAGAGAATCCTCAATTGAGCCCATTTCAATCTTCAATTTCAACCCGTTTTAAAACTCTTTACTAAGATATGTTCCCATATTAAAGGTATGAATTATTATATATTTAACATCTTTTAGGATTTATCTATCCATTTGTTACTTTTTAAAAAAAATAAAATCTTGAGCTGAAATTTAAATTGTGATTATAAAAGTTAAATATCACTATGTTAAAATTATTGAGATTAATTGGATCAAATTGGGCGGGTCAAGACCCAACCCGTTTTTTAGCCCATTTGAACTCAACCCATTTGAGCCCAAAGTAAACTTGGGTGGGTCAAGACCCAACCCAATTTCTATTTCAACCCATTTTAATATCTCCAATTTCAACTCAACCCGCCCATTTGACACCCCTAGTACTAACTAATTATAAAGTTTCCAATCATAAAATGACATGTGTCCAATTTGTGCACGCATCACTTGCTTTCAAGAGAGTCGGCACACTCTCTATGCCATGTCAGCGTTTGTGGTGTATTTATTCCATTTTAAATTAGTTTAGGGGGGTACTAGGACCCTAGTTAAGTTTAGATGTGTCTCTGAGATGTCGGTCATAGTCTAGGGGGGTACTTGTGCCTTATCCCTAATTTAAATAACAATCAAAATAAACATTGTATTTAGACTAACAATACAGTGCAACCATCAAAACAAGGTGTAAATTACAAGAATGAACAGGAAAGAATGTTACAATAACTATATAAAGAATGAAAAAAATATTAAAATAACTAAAGAATGAAAAATAATTAGATGAAAAAACAAAAATGTCAGCCGCATTTTATTTTTCTAAGGTATGGCAATTCTCTTTTTATGGTAAGGCACAAGTCGTCATGTACCTTCGTTCATCAGTTAACACCCTTCACAACGTCAAATGAAAGACACGTGGGCTCCTGTATTTTTGTCCTTTTGGTTTCAACTTCAAATTATTTGTCTTTTTGGAATTTTTGATCAATTTTATTGTCTTTTTAGCTCTTGACTCTAAAGGAACAAGCTATTATTCTCACCAAATATAAAGTATGAATATGATTTTCAATTATTTATTAAAAAAATCATAATACAAAAATTGAAGGTAATATTTATCATAAGAAACGAAAGCCAAATTCATATGTTTATTATGGTTGACAATGATACCTTTTATGTGTTGATAGAACACAATTAAGCACCTAGTAAACTAGCTATGGGAGAAGTAAAACTTAATCGATACCCGATATTTATAATAAAGTAATAAATACAAGATATATGCCCTTTATATAGGTACTATGTAACTGCACATCACCATTATTGATAAAAAATTAAGTTATCTATACACAATTAAGGTGTGTTCGTTACGAAGGAAAATGGTTTTCATGAAAATAAGTGTTTTTCTACTTATTTTTGTGTGTTCAATATGCAAACAAAAAGTATTATCCTAAAAATATTTGTGGATAATCTAAATAAATAATATGGAAGATGTGGATATGGTGGTGACTGTAAAATTAGATTTTAGGTCTAACTCATACACCAAAAGTTAGCTCACGAGGAAATAATTGTCTAAATTCACATAATGAGATCACTCATCTCATTAACCACCTATGTGAAATTTTTTCATTCTTCAACACCCCACCTAGCGACAAGGCTAGACATTTGAAGTGTGCAAATTTAATTTGGGGGGTCAATATCAGGTGAGATGAATCTTGCTTTGATACCATATAAATTTAGGTCTTGGGCCTAACAATGAGTATGTGGGGTGGTAGGGATGTGGACTACGGGGGTGCGGTGTGAAGAAGAGGTATGTTGGAGGGTGGATAGGATACAATCAATGTGGAATGTCACTTGTTTTTCCTACTTTCATTAAGAAAGTCATTTTCCTTATTTTAAAGAAATTTATTTTCTTAGAGAAAATATTTTCTAAATTTTCTAACCAACTGAACATGAGAACATTGTTCCCTCGTACCGAACACACCCTTAGGTACTAAATAGAAAAAATTCCATAATAAGATAAAATGTAATATGTATTTACTATACACCGTTGTAGTTTAAAAGAATTACAATTCATAGCTATAGTTATGATTTATAGAAAATTTCTCTCTTCTCTCATATATCTCTGGCCCCTCGCTTGCCTCTCTCCCTCCTTCTCTCACATCTTTCCTCTATCTTCCCTCTTGAGCACACCTCTCTTTTTCTCTCTGCAAAATAAATATAAATGGTAACAATCAATGATACAAATACAATTGATAATAGTCAATGATACAAATACAAATGGTAATTATCAACTATATAGATGCTTTTTAGTGATACAAAATATAATGAGATTTTTCAATGATACAAATCTTTATTTAGATTCAAAATACAAATGATAGATTTTTGAAGATACAAATACAAATGGTAACTTTTTCAAGGAAACAGATAATAACAAACCCAAATATACAAATTCATTTTATTCTTAATCTTATTAATCTTCTCTGTGTATTGAGCCCCATGATGGGCTAAACTATTTGTGTTGAGCTGTAGCATACTAGGTTACTATAATAAATGGTTTAAGTTACAATCATGAATATGGTTTAAGCATTCAGAATAAGGTCATACATAGATTATCCCAGCATAGTTATGAAAGATCGCTGAATTGATCCGTTGGATTACCCATGAGGAGGGCGGACCCGGATAGTAAGGATTTCCATATACTATAGCCAGGCTGAATTTATGTTAGTAAAGGTTCCTCACAGTTTGAATGTACGATCCGCGTTTGTTATGGTATCAGAACCATGAACTTATAGTAACTATAGATGTTACTGTTCAACACAGTTTTTAAAAATATGAATATCATAAAGAAGAAGTCTACTGTTAAAAACAGTAGAAAAGAAGAATATGATATACCTCAACAACTAGATCTACTTAATTAGTGGACTATTCCGAAAATATCACCTAGGATCATATATCAGATGGGTACTTTTGAGAAACTTGGTTTCAAGCAAGTGGTTAAAACCACAGAGGAGACTATCACTATTGATAGCGATAAACAAACTTTTAGATTATTATCTGAAAATGATTTAGCCCCTTATAGGGATATTTATCGTTTTATGCATATTGGTTTAGTACAAGTAGCTTTTAAGCCCCTTACTTTACGTGGTTTACCGAAAAGTTTTATAGCAGCTTTACATGACGGTAGAAATCATTATTGGAAGAAGTCTCTTATAGGGACAATTCAAACTAGTCTAGCATAAGGACCAGTTTATTTTAATGCTTATCCTAACCTGCAGATTTCCTTGCAGGATGAGAAATCATTAAGTTCTGTTTTGTTAAATGTTAAACTTCATGGTTATGAGTATATGCCTGGCACTAAAATTGTTTGTATCTGTTATAGAATTTGTTATAAACTTTTGCATACATTAAATCCTATGTGTAAAATCATTGATTTCAAAAATGAAACTATTTTAATAGAAACTAATTTTGATAAATTCAAAGTTGTTACTAGAAGATTTATTAAGTGGGAACAAATTGATTTTCCACAAGAATGGGTTATTGAGAATGCTACTCAACCACGTAATAATATTAATACGGATGTTTCGGAAATTGAACAGTTAAATGATGAAACTGTTAAAATTAGATTTTCCGAACCAACTAATAGATTTATTGAAAATCGTAGCATGTCTTCTAGAATGACTAGATCCAATTCGTCTTATATTTCCCCTATTGATTATATTGTTCAGATCCCTTCCAGAGCTTCTACTTCTAAAATTAGGGAAAATTATAGATGTGATGATATAAAAATTGATAATGATAATATTGTAAGACCTGTCCCCAGGCCTAGCTCAGACTTAGATATAACTGAATCTGAAATGAAGTTTCCAGATGGACTAACTACTTAATATTTGTTTTATGATGTCTGACAATCAGATTGATTTTAGTCCGGGATCACCGGCAAGAGCAAGAATCGCTAAAGACTTTCAGCGAAAAAAATGGTAACTTTTTAGAAAATGGTTCTTCAAAAACTTTAATAAAGAAGAACAATATGGTTTTCAAGAGGAATTTTATAACGTTATTATAAATTCAGGAATAAATAAATTAGTTGCTTTTGTTCCTTGGTTTATGCGTAAACATGTTCATAACTATGTTTCTATGCTAGAGAAAGATTTCACTCTAAGCAATGGAGAAATTACGAAATCAGTTTTTCCTCCACAACAGTCTTTTCAATTCAATAAAAATGATAGGATTGTAAATTTTAATGATTTTTCAAAATTGTTTGAAAATGATACTGCTTTAGTGACTACTAGTCATGTTAATGCTATTATCAAACAAAATAATTAAGCAAATATTTATATGAGCATTTTAGGTGAGCATATTGTCACTTTGCATGATAAAATGGATAAAATTAATACCCTATTACCTACTAAGGTAAAAGTTAAAGAAAAAGTTGCTCATAGTAGCTTACAACTTCCGCCTGAAATTGATAATTTCAAGCTTAAAGATTATTTAGATCTTGAGAATTTTTTAGAAAAGAAATTCAAGTGAAGTGGAGCCCAGCCTATTAATGCAGAGAATTTCTTACAAGGAGAATCTACTAAGAATATAGAATTTTCTGATGAGGTTAATAAAATCTCAGAAAGATATGCGAGAAAGACAGTCCAAAGGATGTACTACTATCCTAGACCCACTCCTCAAGATGTTCTGCTAGAGGAACATGAACATATTATAACTAATAGTTATAATGGAAAGGAAATTTTTGAATGGAACATTGATGGTTATACTGATAGACAGATTTATACAACTGTCCATCGTATGCTCATGTACAGTACTATCTGTAAAACCAATAAGAATAGTGATAAGACTATTGCAGATATGATAAATACAGGTTTTACTGGCCAATTGAAAGGTTGGTGGGATAATTATCTCAATCAGGAGCAAAGAGATAAAGTTCTACACGTAGTTAAATTAGAAGGAGAGCAATATACTCAGAATGCAGTTTATACACTGGTTCTAAATGTTATTGAACATTTTTCAGGAAGATGGTCAGATAATAGCGAGACCATTAGAAACTTGCTTCAAAACCTTAGATGTAAAACTCTTATATCATTTAGGTATTATAACGATGTGTTTTTATGCAGAGTAATGGAATTGCCAGAGTGTAATAGCACTCATTGGAAATCCAAATTTATAGATGGATTACCAACTCTCTTTGCTGAAAGGGTTAGAAAAGCCATCAGAGGAGAAAATCACAGTATAAATTATGATGAGTATACCTATGGAAAGCTTATAGGTGCTTGTATCCAGGTAGGATTAGCATTGTGCAATGAGATTAAGTTGAATCAACAGATTAAGCGACATCGCTTAAATGAAAGAAAACAACTAGGAGAATTTTGCGAACAATTCACATTTGATATTCCCAAACAAAAATCTAAATATAAGGAATATACTCCTAAGAAGAAAAAATCTTCCAAGAAAGATTATGAGAAATGGAAGAAAAAGAGGATTGAAAAAAAGCTTAGAAGAGCTGAGGAAGGAAAATGAGACTCTTCTAAGAGAAAGATGAAGTATCGTCAGAATTATAATAGATCAGATACTTGCCACAAATATGGAAGATTTGGTCACTATGCCAAGAATTGTCGAGTCAAGGAAAAAATTAAAAGCCTTGATATAGGAGATGATATTAAGGATTCTCTTTATAAGATCATGCTTAATTCTGATTCAGAAAAATCAGGATCAGAAAGCAGTAATGAAGGATCCTCAGCTAGTGAAGATCTCAAAGCCCTTCAACAAGAAGATTATGCAACTTCTGAGGATGAGTGTTCACCTTGCCAACAAGGAATGACATGTGAAAAGGAAGATGATGAAGTTGATCTTTATAAGATCTATGTCCAATTTAAAGAATTGAGTCTTAATGTGATTGATAATGACAAAGTATTGGACCTTTTACAAAATATTAAAGATTCGGAAATAAGAGCTCAAATTATTGATAAAATCAGTAATAATCCTCCTAGTAAGGAAAAGGATCATATTCCTGAAGAAATTCCTACTAAAGAAGGTTCATATACCATGGCAGAAGTTAAAAATCTTTTGCTCGAAAGGAGAAAGATGATAAGTTCTCCCATTACGATTAATGACCTAAAGGAAGAGGTTAAGATCCTCAAGGAGGACATCATTCGGTTGAAAGAAAAGAATGTGGTAATAGAAGTGAGACTTGACGCCATTCAAACTCGCCAAGATTTGGAAAATGTATTTGAATCTTCCTCTTCTCTTGAAGGAGAAAATAATAGTCTTGATTTTATGAAAAACCTTTACTTAAAAAATGATAAAACATATTTCTTATATAGTCTTAAAGCTTTTACTTCTCAAAAGTTTTATACAAAAATCACTCTTCTTATAGATTATAATTATAAAAAAGAGTTTATAGCTCTTATTGATAGTGCGGCTGATTTAAATTGTATTCATGAAGGACTTATACCTTCAAGATATTTTCATAAAACTACTCATAGTCTTCGATCTGCTAATGGTAGCAAAATGAATATTGAATTTAAATTACCCAAAGCTTTTATTTGCAAAGGAAAAAGTTGTGTTCCACAAAGCTTTGTTTTAGTAAAAAACATCACCAATCAAATTATTTTGGGTGTCCCTTTCATAAATGATATTTTTCCTCGTACTTATTGGGATAATAACAAAATTGTGGGTACTTGGAATAACAAACCTTTTATACTTGAGTTTGTTACAAAACCTTTTACTAGAATGATAAATAATCTAATTGAAAAATTAATTTCAAAAAATAATCAGGTCAACTTTTTAAAACAAGAAATTATTAGCATTGAAATTGATCATACTTTACAAAATCATAAATTACAGAAAAAGATTGCTATCCTAGCAAATCAATTCTCTCTTGATATATGTGGAGATCATCCTAATGCTTTCTAGAATAGGAAAAAGCATGGTGTTAATCTTCCATATGAAGATGATTTTGATGAGAATAATATTCCTACCAAGGCCAGACCTTGTCAGATGAACTCAGAATATTTGGAGTTATGTAAAAAGGAAATTAGTTCTTTACTACAAAAAGGCTTAATAAAGCAATCAAAATCACCTTGGTCATGTACAACATTTTATGTTAATAAACATGCAGAGCAAGAAAGAGGAGCTCCCAGATTGGTAATAAACTATAAACCGCTTAATAAAGTGTTACGTTGGATCAGGTATCCCATTCCTAATAAAAAAGATTTACTAGATAGAGTATATGATGCTATCATCTTTTCTAAATTTGATCTAAAATCAGGCTATTGGCAGATTCAGATAGCAGAGTCAAATAGATTTAAAACTGCTTTTAATGTGCCAATGGGGCAATTCGAATGGAATGTCATGCCATTTGGATTAAAAAATGCTCCATCTGAATTTCAAAAAATTATGAATGATATCTTTATGCCTTATAGTAATTTTATAATAGTTTATATAGATGATATCTTAGTGTTTTCCAAAAATGTGGAAACTCATTTTAAACACCTTGAATTATTTAAGAAAATTATTATGCAAAATGGATTGGTTTTATCACAACCTAAAATGGCTTTGTTTAAAACAAATGTCAGATTCCTTGGTCATAATATCGAAAGTGGTAATATTAGTCCTATTAATAGGAGTATTAAATTTGCTTCTATATTTTCTGATATTATTACTAATAAGACTCAGCTGCAGAGATTTCTTGGAAGTCTTAATTATGTTGCTCCTTTTATAAAGGATTTAGCAAAAGATACAACTATCTTATATGACAGATTAAAAAATAATCCTAAAGCTTGGTCAGGTGATCATTCTGAAGCGGTCAAAAGGATTAAATAGAAGGTTAAAAACCTCTCTTGTTTGACCTTAGACAATCCAAATTGGGCAAAAATAGTAGAGACTGATGCTTTAGACATAGGATATGGTGGAGTATTGACCCAGTTTTGTCCTGATAATAAGCGTCATTACATTGTACAATTTTATTCGGGTAAATGGAACGATGCCCAGAAGAATTATGCTACTATAGCTAAACAAATCTTGGCGATAGTAAAATGTGTTCTTAAGTTCCAAGGCGATCTTATAACCAAAAGTTTTTAATAAAAACTCATTGTCAAACGGCTAGGTTTATGTTTAATAAAGACTGTAAACATGATGTTTCAAACAAATGTTTGCTAGATGGCAAGCTCTTTTAGCACCTTTTGATTTTGAAATACAATATAAGAAGGGTGAAGATAATAGTGTTCCTATTTTTCTCACTAAAGAATATTTGAATTAATAGAATTTAATTTCTTCTTTTCAGGATGAGACCAGTATGGTCCCCTCCCTCCAGAAGAGGAAGAGGAGGTCATATCCTTGCTCAACAAGGCAACAAAACACTGACAACATTTAATAGTAATGTTTCAGCTGCTTCATCAAGCGGTACTAGTGATATAGATATAAACCACCCGATGTTTAAAGAGTTTATAAACTTTATGAAGTCCAAAAAAGAGCCGGATAATAATCAACATACTCTTCAATTCTGATTGATGATGAGAACATAGAGGTATTTGATATGAATGACAAACAAGAAGTTATACTTCTTTTAGAAGAAAATGATCTCAAATGGAGAAATGAGCCATGGCAAATAATGGTTAGGTATTTGGATACAGTATCATATACTACTGCAGTATACAAATACATAATGCACTATAAGATAATACTCTCATCTACAGGGTGTGAATTTCAGCATTTATATCCTGCTAATACGAAGAAAGTTTATAACTTTTCCAAATTGATTATAAAAAAGTTATTAGCACCCGAAGAATGGGGTATGAGCACATTAAAGGAATTGGATTATATCCATCCGCAACAAAAAATCGCAGCAAAATACAATTGATGGATTTAATAAAGTCCTTTTATATGAGAATGCTAAAAAAAAACATTTATGGTTCATCAAGATATGTTCTAATGTATTTGACAGACATATCCCTAATTGGTTTTGCAAATGGTGGACTAACATTCTTACTAGATTCTCCTTGTAAGAAATTCTCTGCATTAATAGGCTGGGCACCACTTCCCTTGAATTTCTTTTCTAAAAAATTCTCAAGATCTGAATAATCTTTAAGCTTGAAATTATCAATTTCAAGTAGAGGTTGTAAGCTACAATGAGCAACTTTTTCTTTACCTTTTACCTTAGTAGGTAATAGAGTAATAATTTTATCCATTTTATCATGCAAAGAGACAATATGCTCACCTAAAATGCTCATATAAATATTTGCATAATTATTTTGTTTGATAATAGCATTAACATGACTAGTAGTCACTAAAGCAGTATCATTTTCAAACAATTTTGAAAAAGCATTAAAATTTACAATCCTATCATTTTTATTAAATTGAAAAGACTGTTGTGGAGGAAAAACTGATTTCGTAATTTCTCCATTGCTTAGAGTGAAATCTTTCTCTAGCATAGAAACATAGTTATGAACATTTTTACACATAAACCAAGGAACAAAAGCAACTAATTTATTTATTCCTGAATTTATAATATCGTTATAAAATTTCTCTAGAAAACCATATTGTTCTTCTTTATTAAAGTTTTTGAAGAACCATTTTCTAAAAAGATTCCATTTTTTTCGCTGAAAGTCTTTAGCGATTCTTGCTCTTGCCGGTGATCCCGGACTAA